GAGTCTTGCAGCATTCCACCTCCGAGAGAGAGGTTCGTGGGTGGAAAATAATTCGTCACCCACAAGAACTCGGAGACGCTTTTGGACTCTATCGGGGCTAGAAAGTGCGGTCTGGGATAGCAAAGGCACGGGTTTGGGGGAGCATGTTATTGGTCTGCGGAAAACTCTCCCAATGTTTGGCACCGTTGAGAAGTGTCTAAAAACCATACCACGGTTTGATCTAAGCATCGTGATTGAAATTGAGCTAGGAATCCATCGATGGTTGTACTAGCATGAAGTCATATCGTGATCGAGGGTTTTAAAACTGTTCATGATTAGGGCAGATCGATTTGGAAATCGTGGCATAGCGCTCAATTTGAAAGTTGGGGTTTCACATGATAAATAACGACACAAAATATTTTCCCAAATCGTTACCGTTTTTTGAGGAAATGAGTTTAAAGATTAAGCTTAAGTTCAAAATCATAGCGTTGCAATTTCATTCCGGTGATCAGTGAAAGCCTTATAGCATCGCCGTATAAAGTTTATAATTTACTAAAGCTTTACAAATTGTATCATAGCACAAGTACATTATTACTAAATCATTGTGCCATCAAATAAAACCTTCATTTACTTCAAAAGGAAATTCTGCTGAACAATTTAATTATATTACGATATATGTTATACAGTGCAATAGTTTTAGTGGGATTTTCATTAAACAATATAAATTTAAAATATTTTGTCTTATAATTTGTGCCCAGTAGTATTATGGTGTTATATACACTTATATCTATTTTTGTTTTTATTAAATATGGTCTAATAAATGATCTAACAAATCTTATTCATTGTGCAGCCTTTTTTGTAATCTTTCACAATTTTTTTCCACAGTTTTTACTTATCAAATACAGCAAAACAAAATGATTATGCCATCAAACAAGATCCTCATTTACCTCAAAGGGAAATTATATTGAACAATTTAGTTATATTATGATGTAATGTTATACGGTACAGTAATTTTAGTGGGTTTTTTTTTTCAATAAATAATGCAAATTTTAAATATTTTATCTTATAATTTGTAGCCGGCAGTATTATGGTGTTTATACACTTTTATTTATTTTTGTAGCCTTTTTTTTTTCTTTAGAATTTTTTACAATATTTTTACACATTTTTTACTTATCTAATACAGTAAAACAATTACATATTTTGCTTGTGGCGATTCATAATTAGAATTCTAGTTTGAATATATTTTACCATTCAATGTATGTGTTGTGTAGGAAACCTACCACCCCTCTTGAAGATGAACTTGTCTAAAAACAAAGACGTTAAATAGTGGCATGTCAAAAGACAGAGAAGTTCTTAGCTGAGCTAGTTATAGACTACTCAGGCGATTTCTGTACCTATTTACCAACCTATTAAAACCCTTTTTATTGTTACGTGTTATTTGGCGTTTGTCTCTACTAACCCCAAATCAACATCATAACAGTATGTAATACTAAAGATATCAACTTTATTTAGATTTATTCTTCAAATAATAAGATTTTGAAGTCACTTTGTAAGCAAATACCTGCAAAAATTATTCTTTTTATACATTCTTGGACGATCTTTAAAATTAAATGCTCAAAAATTGGTAAAAGCTATGAATCTAATTTTTGGTGTCAGTTCTTATCACATCAAACTCCGCCCTTTTGATCATGTCAAATTATGTGCTTCATCTCAGAAACAGTAAGCAAGCTGTAGTATAAACCAAGGGTTGAGACTTCGGGTTTTAAGGAAATGCAAATGCGCCTGAGCAGGCGCCTGCAACAGGGATTAGCTAGATACTGGGACAGGCGCGTATACTCGGAAATGAGCAGCTAACCATTTACTTTTACGATCACCCTGTGTGTCCTAAATCGTTCGTGTGTTTCGACGGCCGCAATCTAGCCATAGAAGACTATTCCGTGGTCATCCACTTCCCATGAACTAGTCGCGTTGACCTCTCTTTGCGTTTGTTTCCATTCAATATACCAACTAATAACGATTCTCTATTTGTATGTCTCCATTTCATTACTGCAAGATACGCCGGCCTGTCCATTTAATCACCTTCCCAATCTATAAACCAATTCTTCATTATGGTCGATGTAAATCTTATTATCGCTATCAAATCTTCATTTTCTGCTGCCCGTAGGTCTCCCTTTACGGATTTCTCTCCCCCCCCCACTCGTCAACATGTCTTTACCCATTACCGTCATTACTTATTAATCTATCTCTGCTTTTCATACCCCCACCCAAACCCTGGTCGCATATCTTATTGCATCCAATTGCTTTATTTCAATCTACTTATGTCATCTCTTAGCAAATGAATGACTTTTAGATATAGGTATATGTACGATATGCTTGTTGGTTTGATCGGAAATGATTTATCAAATAACCTACCTAGGGCAATAGGTTTTCAGTTTGTTTGAAATTGTTCCCCATGGAAACCCATAAAGTTATCCAAGTGTCCCTTCGAATTAAAAAAAAAGGAAAACTCACGAAACTTTGACAGTTCTGAGGAATGCATAAATCAAAATGTTGTCAAAATGAATAACTATGGTCGATAATCTGCTTTTATATGTTGTCGCCTTTCAGTTGGCGATCATGTCTCTTTAAACCATCATTCGGTAAAAGGCCCATGTCTCTTTCGGTCTTAAGATCATTATTCAGTAAAAGGCCCATGTCTCTTTCGGTCTTAAGACACTCGTTCAGTAGACCTATCATGTCTCTTTTGGTCTTAAGATAATCATTCAGTAGAATGGCAAGTCTCTCCCGGTCTTAAAACCATATATTCAGTAGAAGTTTAAGTCTCTCCCGGTCTTAAAACCATATATTCAGTAGAAGTTTAAGTCTCTCCCGGTCTTAAAACCATATATTCAGTAGAAGTTTAAGTCTCTCCCCGGTCTTAAAACCATATATTCAGTAGAAGTTTAAGTCTCTCCCGGTCTTAAAACCATATATTCAGTAGAAGTTTAAGTCTCTCCCGGTCTTAAAACCATATATTCAGTAGAAGTTTAAGTCTCTCCCGGTCTTAAAACCATATATTCAGTAGAAGTTTAAGTCTCTCCCGGTCTTAAAACCATATATTCAGTAGAAGTTTAAGTCTCTCCCGGTCTTAAAACCATATATTCAGTAGAAGTTTAAGTCTCTCCGGTCTTAAAACCATATATTCAGTAGAAGTTTAAGTCTCTCCCGGTCTTAAAACCATATATTCAGTAGAAGTTTAAGTCTCTCCCGGTCTTAAAACCATATATTCAGTAGAAGTTTAAGTCTCTCCGGTCTTAAAACCATATATTCAGTAGAAGTTTAAGTCTCTCCTGGTCTTAAAACCATATATTCAGTAGAGTTTAAGTCTCTCCCGGTCTTAAAACCATATATTCAGTATATTCAGTAGAAGTTTAAGTCTCTCCCGGTCTTAAAACCATATATTCAGTAGAAGTTTAAGTCTCTCCCGGTCTTAAAACCATATATTCAGTAGAAGTTTAAGTCTCTCCCGGTCTTAAAACCATATATTCAGTAGAAGTTTAAGTCTCTCCCGGTCTTAAAACCATATATTCAGTAGAAGTTTAAGTCTCTCCGGTCTTAAAACCATATATTCAGTAGAAGTTTAAGTCTCTCCCGGTCTTAAAACCATATATTCAGTAGAAGTTTAAGTCTCTCCCGGTCTTAAAACCATATATTCAGTAGAAGTTTAAGTCTCCCCGGTCTTAAAACCATATATTCAGTAGAAGTTTAAGTCTCTCCCGGTCTTAAAACCATATATTCAGTAGAAGGTTAAGTCTCCCCGGTCTTAAAACCATTATTCAGTAGAAGTTTAAGTCTCTCCCGGTCTTAAAACCATATATTCAGTAGAAGTTTAAGTCTCTCCCGGTCTTAAAACCATATATTCAGTAGAAGGTTAAGTCTCTCCCGGTCTTATGACCATTATTCAGTAGAAGGTTAAGTCTCTCCCGGTCTTATGACCATTATTCAGTAGAAGGTTAAGTCTCTCCCGGTCTTATGACCATTATTCAGTAGAAGGTTAAGTCTCTTTCGGTCTTATGACCATTATTCAGTAGAAGGTTAAGTCTCTTTCGGTCTTATGACCATTATTCAGTAGAAGGTTAAGTCTCTTTCGGTCTTATGACCATTATTCAGTAGAAGGTTAAGTCTCTTTCGGTCTTATGACCATTATTCAGTAGAAGGTTAAGTCTCTTTCGGTCTTATGACCATTATTCAGTAGAAGGTTAAGTCTCTTTCGGTCTTATGACCATTATTCAGTAGAAGGTTAAGTCTCTTTCGGTCTTATGACCATTATTCAGTAGAAGGTTAAGTCTCTTTCGGTCTTATGACCATTATTCAGTAGAAGGTTAAGTCTCTTTCGGTCTTATGACCATTATTCAGTAGAAGGTTAAGTCTCTTTCGGTCTTATGACCATTATTCAGTAGAAGGTTAAGTCTCTTTCGGTCTTATGACCATTATTCAGTAGAAGGTTAAGTCTCTTTCGGTCTTATGACCATTATTCAGTAGAAGGTTAAGTCTCTTTCGGTCTTATGACCATTATTCAGTAGAAGGTTAAGTCTCTTTCGGTCTTATGACCATTATTCAGTAGAAGGTTAAGTCTCTTTCGGTCTTATGACCATTATTCAGTAGAAGGTTAAGTCTCTTTCGGTCTTATGACCATTATTCAGTAGAAGGTTAAGTCTCTTTCGGTCTTATGACCATTATTCAGTAGAAGGTTAAGTCTCTTTCGGTCTTATGACCATTATTCAGTAGAAGGTTAAGTCTCTTTCGGTCTTATGACCATTATTCAGTAGAAGGTTAAGTCTCTTTCGGTCTTAAACCATTATTCAGTAGAAGGTTAAGTCTCTTTCGGTCTTATGACCATTATTCAGTAGAAGGTTAAGTCTCTCCTGGTCCTAAAACCATATATTCAGTAGAAGGTTAAGCCTCTTTCGGTCTTATGACCATTATTCAGTAGAAAGGCCATGTCTAATTCGGTCTTAAGACCATCATTCAGTACACCCATCATGTCTCTTTCTATCTTCAGACCAACTTCCAGTAGAACAGCTATGTCTCTTTCTATCTTCAGACCAACTTCCAGTAGAACAGCTATGTCCCTTTCGGTCTTATGGCCATCATTCCGTAGACCGATCATGTCCCTTTCGGTCTTATGGCCATCATTCCGTAGACCGATCATGTCCCTTTTCGGTCTTATGGCCATCATTCCGTAGACCGATCATGTCCCTTTCGGTCTTATGGCCATCATTCCGTAGACCGATCATGTCCCTTTCGGTCTTATGGCCATCATTCCGTAGACCGATCATGTCCCTTTCGGTCTTATGGCCATCATTCCGTAGACCGATCATGTCCCTTTCGGTCTTATGGCCATCATTCCGTAGACCGATCATGTCCCTTTCGGTCTTATGGCCATCATTCCGTAGACCGATCATGTCCCTTTCGGTCTTATGGCCATCATTCCGTAGACCGATCATGTCCCTTTCGGTCTTATGGCCATCATTCCGTAGACCGATCATGTCCCTTTCGGTCTTATGGCCATCATTCCGTAGACCGATCATGTCCCTTTCGGTCTTATGGCCATCATTCCGTAGACCGATCATGTCCCTTTCGGTCTTATGGCCATCATTCCGTAGACCGATCATGTCCCTTTCGGTCTTATGGCCATCATTCCGTAGACCGATCATGTCCGGTCTTATGGCCATCATTCCGTAGACCGATCATGTCCCTTTTCGGTCTTATGGCCATCATTCCGTAGACCGATCATGTCCCTTTCGGTCTTATGGCCATCATTCCGTGGACCGATCATGTCCCTTTCGGTCTTATGGCCATCATTCCGTGGACCGATCATGTCCCTTTCGGTCTTATGGCCATCATTCCGTGGACCGATCATGTCCCTTTCGGTCTTATGGCCATCATTCCGTGGACCGATCATGTCCCTTTCGGTCTTATGGCCATCATTCCGTGGACCGATCATGTCCCTTTCGGTCTTATGGCCATCATTCCGTGGACCGATCATGTCCCTTTTCGGTCTTATGGCCATCATTCCGTGGACCGATCATGTCCCTTTCGGTCTTATGGCCATCATTCCGTAGACCGATCATGTCCCTTTCGGTCTTATGGCCATCATTCCGTAGACCGATCATGTCCCTTTCGGTCTTATGGCCATCATTCCGTAGACCGATCATGTCTCTTTCGGTCTTATGGCCATCATTCCGTAGACCGATCATGTCTCTTTCGGTCTTAAGGCAGTCATTCAGTATACGGATCATGTCTCTTTCGGTCTTAAGGCAGTCATTCAGTATACGGATCATGTCTCTTTCGGTTTGAAGACAATAATTCAGTAGACTGTATTATAAATGCTATAAATATCTTGATTTGTTGTTAACTGGGACAAGAAATGGCGTATTATTTTTAACGCCTGCAAAATATCTTAATCTTTTTTGCTTTTCTTCAGTATGGCTGATGCTGGTCTTCTGGTGATTTGCTCATTTTTCTACTGCAAGAAGTTGGAAGTTTATATTGAATCAATTGCTAGGTCTGCTGCCAAGAACATTGGTTCATCTTGTCATGCTAGACAATTTTTCTTTGAGAGAATCTATCTTACAAATGTATAAGTCTAACATTCGTTGATGCATTGAATACTGCTGTCATATCTGTTCTGGTGCTTCTGCTCTGTATTTAAAGATTCTTCATAAAATCCAGTGAAGCATCTGCAATGTTATCGGCCCTCACCTGGCATCTCGGTTAAAACACTTTTCCACCACCATAACGTAGATTCCCTGTGCCTTTTCTATAAATATTTTCATGGCAATTGTTGTGATGGGCTTTCCTCTTTGGCAGCTTTACTTTACGAATTCCAGCACAGTACTAGACTGTCAGTTAGGTCTCATCATTTTACTGTTGATATTACTAAATATAACCGTAAACTCTATGCTAATAACGTCTTCTCTCGCATTTCTCGCTTGTAGAACTATATCTCGACTTCTGGCTTATCTGTCAACTTCAATCTTGGAATATTTAAATGCTACCTCAATCATAATCCGTTTGCTTGAATCCTGTCTTTATGTCTTAGTGGCTTTATCACCTTGATTGGAGTGAAATGATTTTAAAAAATTAGGCTTCGTTTTCCTCTGGTTGGTTGCCTCTTAACTTGTAGCAGAGAGAATTTTTCGAAAACTCTGCTGTAACGTTGTATGTGTGTAAAATCTCTCTCAAGCTAAAGTGCTCAAATTGTGTTTAGGTGTGAGGAGACTATTACCAGATTTATCCCCTGAAAACGCCTTGAACACAGTTTCTTAGTATAGTGCTGCATATTTTAGTGTATGTATGCGTACGAAATATATACAACGCTTGATTTATCTCCAGAACTCTGGCGTATTGGATAACCTTTTTGATGTCTCCATCTCTTTCCGATGCACACTTTTGTCGCTTCCGGACCGGATTTTGCCTTCCGTATTCATAGGCTGTTCATCGCGGTCTTTTGCTTCTGCACCCCCCCGGCACCATCGCCCCACCTAACAACCTATTCCTTCCACCTTGTTGGCAGAAAAGAAGCAAGTTGTTTCTTTGTCGGACAACCACTTTTGCTCGGTCTGCTCGACATCGGCTTCCTGCCCTTCGATTATCGATTATGGTTTTGGAACAGAAGAAAAAGCGTTTCGTATTCGGACCGGGACAAAATGTCAACTCTGCCAAGATGGTGTCACTTCGAATGTCAGAACGGTCAGAGGCTTGTCTGTTGCGTCGTATGATCTAGAGTTCAAATTCCAGTGGGGACAAACGACCGTCAAGTGATTGTATATTATAAAAATTTCATTTCGGGATATTAAAAAAAAAAAAAAAAAAAAAAAAAAGAAAAAAAATATTTTATGGTAGCCCGAAAGTGCAAATATTTAGTTTCACAAATATTTTTGCGGTGATTTAAAATTTTGTTAAAGCAATAAAAATAAAAAACAGGATGAAACAAGAAGAAAAATTAATAACAAAATGCTGGCGGTAACAAGAAATAATGTTACCGTAAAGTGGTAATATCGAAATTACAACACGATTAACAAAAAAGATAGCTAAACCGGTTTATCGGTACTCTCTCATGAACACTAAACCGGGTAATCGGTACTCTCTCATCAATGCTAAGCCGGTTTATCGGTTCTCTCTCATCAGCGCTAAATCGAGGACGAAAAATGTACACAGCAACTAAAAACGAAAATTGAAGACCAAATGTTATTTAAAAATGTAACACTTTACAGTCAATTTATTTGCCTACCAACCACTCCTGCTTAATGAGAGATGGCTGGTAGGACTTAATGTAAGCAAATTCCAACACCACCAAATGAAATTCAGAATTATCCTTCCTCAGTACGGGAAATATACCTTGGTTGTAAGGCTGGACACATTTCTGAAATAGTTTATTTGGCTTGAATTCCATTTATTGATCCCTAATTTATCATAACCCACAGTTAAAACTAAAATTTAAAATGATTTATTAAATTAATTATGATCCTGAATCCGTGCTGCCACAGGCGCATTCTTATTGTTTTATATCTGATAAGAATTCACTGGGTGATTATGTAACGGAAATTTGTGATTCTGCCATACATACAGTTTTCTTGTCAACTATTCGAGTTAATATACTCATAAGAAAATGGGACGAATCCATGTTCAACCTTTCAAATCACCGGGTTTTAAGGTTCAATATTTATTTGTCCGAAATTATGAGATTACGTAACAGATCAATTATCTTGATGCTGTAACTGGCTAACTCCGGGCTAAGTTGGCAAAAGCAAGCTTTGCTTAGAGTTTCGTTCAGATAATAAAACATGATCCATAAGAAATTAACTTCGCATTAAACGAGATACATATGTTTCCTTCAGTAAAATTACCCCGGCAGTTTTAAACCTAGTTCAGGAATTAGACATTTTTTCTCGTATGTCTATTCGCTTGAAGGCCGCAAATCCTTTTAAACCAGTATGAGTTTATCTATTACGAGACTTAAGTGTCACTCAAGGTAGAGGGTTACTGAATATGAGTGTAAGGAGAGGTATAACGACTTAACCTTTATTTGAAGAGGTCAAGATTATATTGTTCAAGGATGCATCCACAGAGGTGTCTGTTCCACAAAGGTATTAGGTCTTAGCCGCGCGCTAAGCTCCTAGTGCTTATCGAGCTCTCTGCCTTCGGGTAGAGAGGAACCCAGACGAGGCTATACCGAGGGGCAGAGTCTTGTCTGGAGAGTTAGACAAACCCGACCCTGTTATTACGGGGCCTGCGGGGAAATTTTGCTCGGGCCCACGGACTCGGAAAAACCCACGTTAAACCGACCTTGTGCCACATCCCGCTGTGTGGGGAGCTCGGGAAAATACCGAGTCTGTCCCTCAAAATGTCAATTGTGGGGGAAAAGCTGAGTTTAACAGTTGGAATACAGAGTTCATATATATATATATATATATAATGAAAATATAGTTTTAAGGTATGTTATATTTATGGGTAAAAGCGCTATCATGGATAGAGTGTAGTCATAAAAGTGGGCACTGAGGTCAGTTCCGAGCGGCGAATGTCTTTTTCATCCCTGAATGCATGCACGTGGCCTGAAGATTGCGTTCAAGCATGAAACAGGCTCTCGCCGCTCGGTGTTGCCCTCAGTATCCACTTTCTTTCTCTCTCTCTCATATATATATATATATGTGTGTGTGTGTAGAGAGAGAGAGATAACTATATAGATATATGATGTATATACTTTGAATTGAGAGAGATATAAACGTTTCCTCTTGTAAAATTACCTCGGCAGCGTGATTTCGTAACGCTGGAATTCATGATTTGCTTAAAAATGTTAAGGAAAGTAAGTGCGACATAAATGTTCTAAGTTTTTGAAATGATTTGTTGATAATTTTCAGTCAATCTTTTGGGCGAATTATGTTCATCATTGTTGTTTCTTCTGCCAAAACGTTGTATAGCAACAACAAAGGTGAGGACAATAGTCCGAATATAAATTGTGTAAATACCGAAATAATTTGCAACCATTCCCTTTATTTGGCACTGCAACGATTGAAATGAAGATTTTAAATTCCATGGTCTTATATTGCTAACACTGCTGTCAAATGAACGTAAAAACAAGCTTTGTGGAACCGACTCCCAAGAGGATGCTTCCCCGATCGCTATAATCTTAACCTGTTCACGTCTAAAGTTAACCGTTATCTTCCCCACATATCCCCATAAACTGTGCCTCTTACTCCGTAGCCCCCTACTTTGAGTGGCTCTTAGGTGAATATCATTGTAAAAAAAAAATAAATCAATGCTGAAGCGTCTGCCATTTTTTTATCAAGGAATCTCTGTTTAGCAATCATTACGATTATCACTTGATATATGATCATTATTTGACACATTTGGAAAAAAATAAAACGAATATTTTATTATCACTTTCACTGTTGCATTATTATAGCATTTTTGTCTGGCTGTGTTGACCAATTTTGGAAAAAAATAGGAAATTGCCATTTACTGGAAACAAATGACTATAAAGACGCTGACAGTGATTTTTCATGGGTGCCGCCATTTTCGGTTCGATCAGTTACTCTGCAACACACACAATATAATAAAAATAACTCACAAAAATGCCGTATTATATACTACTAGAGATACTATACTGGTATGTGAATAGCAGTAAATGCTGAGTAGTTTATAATGCAAACTCTAAGTATAGGACGTTGTAGGGAGCCGTAATCAACCATGTTTTGAAGGGATACGGCACATCGGAGAAGAAATACGTGATCACTCTCGCTATAAAGCTCACGATGAAGAGGACTGTTAACTTTATTTTTATACACGAAATGTAAAGAAAATAATTTTCAAGTAATTAATGATGTTTTTTTATAATCCAGTATTATTTCTTATTAAAATAGAGTGCAGCAGAAATACCTCTCACATATACCTCCAAGAAATACCTACTACATATATCTCCCAGAAATGTCTCCCACATATACCTCCCAGAAATATGGGCACCTCGACGTGGTGTAATGGTTAGAAAGCTTGTCTTGCTCGATCAGTTACGACTGAGTAGTGAGTTCGATCCTCACTGGGTGCCCCATACTTTCGGCCTTGTGCCACATCTAAGCCGGGCTTAGAAAATCACTATACCTCCCAGAAATACCTGCCACATATACCCCCCAGAAATACCTGCCACACATAAATCCCACACCTTTCAGAAATGCCTCCCACATTTATGTAGCATGTATTTCTGGAAAGTATAACTCCCAGAAATATCTGCCAGATAATAGTAAGACATTAGTTAGATGAAGACACCATTGCCATTAATATTTTACCATTGTGTGGAGTTATTTCCGTTACACCCTGTATTATCCAACTATATAGTCATTTTTTTTGTCTTAATTTGAAATACATTGTATTTTTCCATTTTTCGGGAGACTTTTCTTTTCAGGAATTAGACAAAAAAAATGTTCATGAATAAAACTTTTCTTTTTCGCTTTTTTTTTTTTTGTCTTTTTTACGGTTTGCCGTTTTTTTCTTTTTCGCTTTTTTTTTTGTCTTTTTTACGGTTTGCCGTTTTTTCTTTTTCGCTTTTTTTTTTTTTTTTTTTTTACGGTTTGCCGTTTTTTCTTTTTCGCTTTTTTTTTTTTGTCTTTTTTACGGTTTGCCGTTTTTTCTTATCGTCTTTTTTGTCATTTTTTTTCTTTATACTTTTTGTCTTTTCTCCTTTTTAATCTTTTTGATTTTTTGTTTTCTTTTTTCGTTATACCTTTTTTTTTCTTTTTTTTATGCTGATTTTCTAAGCGTAGCTTAGATGTGGCATAAAGCAGTAAGTGTGGGGCACCCAGTGAGGATCGAACTCACTACTCAGTCATAATCGTTCTAGCAAGACAAGCTCGCTAACCATTACACCACCTCGAGGTGCCCCTCTTTGTCTTTTCTTTTTACGGATTTTCTTATTTTCCCGCCTGAAAATTAAGCCTAATGTTATGATTTTTTTTCAATATTGTCTTTTTCTCTTTTCTTCTTGACAGCTGCCCAATGTCAATGATCATTTCGACGACAAATCTCGATCTGCTCGGAGCAATGGTTACCGCTCAGGGCGAATCAGCCCAAGCCACAGTGCTCATGGCAGCCTAACTCGACACACCATTCGTAAACTCACAGATTCCCGCAAGGCGCGTAAGGTCCGGTTCTATCGTAATGGTGACCGATTCTACAAGGGCTACGTGATGGCAATAAACTGCGAAAAATTCCGTAGCTTTGAATCCCTCTTGGAGGATCTGACGGCCAGCCCTCTTTGCGATACCAACATCCTAGCTAAGGGGGTACGCTATATTTTCTCCATCGACGGTAAGATGGTCACTACACTGGAAGGGCTGCTGGAAGACGAACATTTTGTTTGCTCGAGCACGGATGTCTTTCGGAACGTCAATTACAAAAGCATCATTAACCTTTGCTGGAATCCAAACGTTAGGGGACCTCTTAGCGGTGAGGAGTACGTCAGTAACCAGTGTCCCGATTCAACCCTGACTGAAGCCACTAGGGACTTCGTTAAACCGAAATTGGTCACCGTTATCCGAAACGGTGGAAAACCACGCAAAGCTGTCAGAGTTCTCCTCAACCGGAAAACGGCCTATTCCTTTCAACAGGTTCTCAGTGATATCACAAATGCTATTCACCTGGACAGTGGTTCAGTGCGAAAGATATTTACACTGGATGGAAGACAGGTAAGTTCTACGATTTATTGCTTTATTTAGAGTTTGAAATACTTGGTGTGGAGGTGAGCAATTCCAGGTAATCCCTGATTATTCAAGAGAAGCCAAGAATTCGGTATGGCACCTCAACAGTCAATAAAGAGACCGAGCAACGAAAATGATATAAAGCTTATTTTTAAAAATTTTCTATATACAAGTATTAATGACTCTCCACAGCTTCCCTTTTTAATTATCGTCAGGGGATGGTAATTCAATATCTCGCCCCCCCCTATGATGATTTTCAGGGAGCGATAATCTAACAGGTATCCATTCATGAGTCTTGGCCAAAGAGACCTGGCGGAGAACATTCCTCTTCAAATCAAACGATAGCCTAAGTTTGCCTTCTTCACGGACACGTGGCCGTTGATTTCACCAGAAGACCCCCCCCCCGGCCTGGCCGTTGACTTCAGCCTAGGAAGTCTTCAAACAAATATACCGGCTCATCACCGCACTATCTCTATCCATAGCTATGGAGCCCAGTTTAGCCCACGCTGCTAGACGGATGTTGATTCTACAAGGAGGTTCGTCTATCCTTTCACAGATTTTGTTTTTCAATCCTTCTGAATGTCTAGTAAAACCTCCTTACAAGAAAATCCTGGTGGGGGGAGGTCTGGTTTAGTTGTCGATGACCCGACCATGTTGGGTTACATGGAACATGTAAAGTAACTTGATATAAAAAAAAAAAAGTTATTAACTTTAGACAGTTACTTTATAACTTAGATCTGACTGTACAGCCACTAACACACCGACTAGAAAAATGCGACAAAAACTAGATAGATAGATAGATAGATAGATAGATAGATAGATAGAATATTTTAATGAATTCTTGCCGCCTAAGTTTACGTTATTTAAATTTATAATTTTGTAAAAAAATCTCTAGGCTCAACCAAGAAGAAATTCCAAAATGTGTTCTGTTTTTAATTCATCTAATGAGATTTTGGAAAACGGGTCTGGCTGAAAAACTTGCCAAACATTTCTCTCTGTGTTTTAGATAGAGAGGGGGGATAGAGAGAGAGGGATGTTAATGAATATATAATTATGGAGTAGATGGAGTTTTTTAAGCAGTGTTGAAGACAATCCATGTGGAAGAAGGAAAGCTCTGATTTCAGACCTCTGCTCTAGTGTAGGTCTTTTTTCTTTATTCTTTGTTTTGTCTTTTTGGACTTTTTTTCTTTTTTGTTTTATCTTTTCTTTCTTTTTTTTATTTCGGTCGTTTTTCATCTTTTTTATTTTTGTCTTTGTTTATTATTTTTTCGATTTGTCTTTTGTGTTTTTTTATTTTTTGGTCTTTGTTTCAGTGGTCGGAAGAGAAGTCAACCTTTTATGTAGGAATAAAGTGTCACTGTCGACACTTGAATTTGAACATAGATCGCCAGTTAGCAAACACAGACGATCACATTGAATTAAGTAGACCACGTGACCATAGAGGAAATACATAAGTAGGAGGTTACGTGACGTCTAATGAATCACTATATCTATTCTATCCTCTATTACTATACGAACCGCTATTCTCTATACTATTCACTATACGGTGGTTACTATTCGAGCGAGTATTATCGAGCAAGTACTATTAGTACGAGTGTTATTCGAAGGCGTCTGACACCAGTATTGTTCAACGGTGTACTATAGTTGTATCTGCGATTACAAAGTCTCTGGCGTGGTCATGTGTGACGTCATGAGCTGCGGTGCGATTTTCGCTTCCGCGTCTGGTATACACGAGTTTGTCGTTGCTTGGAAATCTTTCATGCAACAAAAACAGACTATCATTATTGTTTTGTCCGTGTATTGTTTAATATATTGAAATATAATTGTCATCTTTGATAATGGCTTATGTAAGCCGAAAGCTTAGATAGGATTAAAAAACATGTATCAATATGGTTATTTTCTTTCATCTTTCAATGATAATGTTATTAAGCTTATCAGACAATATGAAAGGAATTTACTTAAAATAAATAGCCAAGACTTGTCTATATTATTTAATGAAACATGCATCAATATTATATATATATATATATATATATTATAACATGAGGTTATGAATTTAACCGTTTTCTTTTATTTTTTTTTAACATTTTTAAAGTCATGTATGTTGGGAAAGGAGTTATCCTTTCAGATATAAAGATATTTGAAAAAATCCAAGATGCAAATTTATATTTTGATAAGATTCAATAGCGGCAATTTGTCGTCTAAATAAGTTACTTTCTCTTTTAATAGGTGTGACATTCTTTAGATCAAAGTTGTGATTGAATGTATTCCTATACATGACTAATGCATTTGATAAATTATTGTGTATAAGATCCCTTTTGTGTTCACAGATAAGGTTTTTTTAACTTCTGCAATGTGAAGAGCAGTTGTAACAGTTTATTTTATATATACCTGCTTCGAAATCATTATTGTGATGGGTATTTTTGATTCTGCTCAGATCGATAGTAGTTTGGAATGTGGTTGCAATTATTTTCATATTGTTAAGATTGGATAAGTTGTTTTAGATTGTAAATGTTAAGGAGATAGTAGGTAGTATTATTTGTTTGGATATATGTAGTTTATTCTCATTGTTATTCTTGTTGATAATGTTATTTTTATACGGTTGTGCATTTTATATGACTTTCTCTTGGCATTTTGGATGAAATAAGGATATTGGAGGTTTTTGAAAGTGTTTTCTATGTGTACTTCTTTTTCCTTATGTAGTGGGGACTGCAGATTCTTACAGCTCTTAAATAGAATCTTATAATTATTTCATCTGCCTTGACAAAGTCCATCAGGTGACGAAACGCGTCAGTAAAAAATAATTTTGCTTTTGTCTTTATTAAAAATCCGACAGAATGATATAAAGACTTTTATTTAGACTTCATAAGTTTTTCTAAAAAGTTCTTCTGATGAAACTTAAATAAAAGCGAAACGTGTCAAATTTATTATTTGTTCCTTATCCTAACATATATATGTATATAAGTTTCATTAAAGACGAATAACAAGTTTTATTGACTTATTCTTAAGTTCGTATAAGCGTTTTCTTTTCTGGACATAAAGCGTGTATAATAACTGTCCAAATGTTCTTTATATCCAAGCGCTTTCGTCTATTCTATTATCCATTAACAAGGCATTTTTTTAAATTTTTAACTGAATATGTGTATCTATAGAGATGGTATTTTTTTTCCGAATACGTTCAGCACATTGTGACAGTGTTCATAGTTGATATTATTGAGTGTTGGCTTTTTCTTTTTATTAATAATGCTTCCATTATTTCTAACCTTTTTTTTTTTAACATGTGGATGAGTCTCTTATAGTTTTAATTCTACGAGTATATTGCAGACTGGGTTTGCTAGGTTTCTCTGTGTGTTTAAATGGGTCCTAATTGTGCTAGGGTCAGAGAGATGTAACGCGAGTCTTCTTGATAGGCATATAGTGGTATATCCAATATCATTATTCATGAATTTGGTTTGGTCAAGAATGTATGTTTAAACTCGGTGGGTGAAAAAACCTGGATAGCACAATTATCAAACAAATCCACCTTGATCATCCCATGTGGTGAAACCTAGGTGGCTCATTAGGATTTATTTGTTTTTATATATATATATATATATATATATATATATATATATATATATATATATATATATATATAGAGAGAGAGAGAGAGAGAGATACACTATTCAGTTTTTGACTTTGGAGTATGACCAGTTAGTTCAAATCGGCTCATACATTTGTGGGTACTGATAATGAACCTCACCGATTCGCCACAATAAACTGAAATGATTCACTCCGCTCCTTTTAGAAAGGAGGGATTTTTTTTTTTGAAAGTGAATTCTAATCAAGGAAGCTAATACCAGGTGGTATGAAAATTCTTGACGAAGGAGCATCTCCTCGTTTGAGGTGCGTGGGGGGGGGCATGATTTCGGAGAGGGTGCGGCAACATAATGGCGGACTTCAGCGTTATTGTCTAATGATGTTAATTACAGACGTTAGGTGGCGCCACATAACTCATTCTAATCCTCCTTAATTAGTCACTTCTGCTTTTCTCTTTAATTGGACCCCACTTCTGACATTTTTCCCAGTCTTGTAAAATCTTCCTGAATGGCAATTTGAATTTCTTTATTGTACAGGGCCAAGACTTGCACCAGAATTAGGGGCGCCTATTACAAAGCGATGATGAGCAAGTTTGACAAACCAGTTCGTTAGTAGGAACGCTATCATCGGTGTATAACTCTCACTGCTGTGGCCTTGTACTGAACGAAGGGGTACTCATTGACGTCTGATAGCTAAGAAAACTTGTTTACACCACGAATTCATGGTGCAATGAGATATGTAGGGGTGGAAAGTTCGTTTTTGTAGTCTTCCAAAAATAAAAATAAAGATGTTAACAATTCGAAGAATTGCTCTCGTTGCTTTTTGCCGTCTTCCATGGAATTGAATTGTTATATATGAGAGAGAATTGTTCTGATAATATGTCCATCTTCCTTTATTTTTTAAAAATCTTAAATTTTAAGCTCCTATTTTATTTCTTCACACCTCTATAATTAAGTCTTGTGGACCGAAATAGCTATTCAAATGAGGTTATTTTGGATTTCTATTTTATGTAATATATATATATATATATATATATATATATATATATATATATATGTGTGTGTGTGTGAGTTTCGTTAAAGACGATTGATATTCAATTTTTCTTTTATACTCACAAGTGTTTTGTTTTCTGGGCACAAAATGTGTAAAACTGTTCAAAAGTTCTACATTTTCGAGCGCTTTCGTCTATACTTTTAGCCATTATCAAGGACGATTTTTATTTTATTTTATTTTTTTAACTGAATGTGTGTTTATTTTATGTATGTGTCTGCAGTTATAGGAATATTCTATTTTATAAACATGGTCAGCACATTGTGGCTGTGTTCGTTGTTAATGTTATTTTGAGTGTTTGCTTTTTTTCTTTTTTGTTATTAGGGCTCCCATTATTTTTATTCCTTCTTTTCTACTAA